GGGGGGGGGGGGGTTCACGCTTGTGACGGTCATGATAACTAACTTATAACTTCAATTCGTGGAGTTCGTATGCCCGGAGCTGAACTCTTACGGAGTATCCACTGTAGTTGCATTTCCCCTCATCACAATTTTTTGTCGTTCGAGAGCTTCTCTTACTCCATCACCTACGGAGCGTGCGCACAAAAAAACCTAAATGTACATTATGTTTACGAAGTTGTCTTCGATGCTTTCTGAAATGTAAATTACACTTAAAATCCATTGAATTTAATACGACTACATAAACGTAATTTATGACTTCGTATTCGTAATTTACACTGATTTTTTCCGTATTTTATGTTTACTTATCCGTAATCAACGACGAATTTTCGATCAAATTACGACTATTCTCAAGACTAATTGCAACTCTCAGAATGTTAGAGTCAAAAAATAAGTATCAGAATATAAGGGTCACAATGTGCCTGATCTTCACTTTTTCCTCTTATATTCTTACCCTCATTTCCTGACCTACCCGAGTGTAAATTCCGGTCAGGTCTTGATCAAGTTTGAATCAGGTTAGACCTGACCACTGATCAGGTATTGATCAAGTTGACGGATCCGCTCTTGATCAGACATGTTACGCCTCTGACCAATCCGGATTTGATCAGGACGAATGGATCCGAACTTGATCAAGTCGACTGTATGAAAACGGGATGACCTGTCTGTCAGTATTAATAACAATTATCAATGATAATTAATCCAAAACAAAAGATAATTCAATTCTTTTACCGTAGGCCGCCTCTCTTAATGAATCTCTGCTGTTATTACCTCTGAAAAAGCTCATTATTTTTTTACCGATGCTGGGGATCAAATCGGGGACCCTATGATTGCTAATCCTATGCCCTAACTACTACGCTATCGTGCTATTACCATTGAGTAAACTGTACATTGCCAATATGATTTGTATCGGGGTATTCGTTGAATTTACAATTATTCCTGATCTCGCGCATGTGCGTGTGTATTCTGAGAGATAAAATATGTTCAATTAAATTTTTATGTATTTCATTAATGAATAATAATAATGATAATAACAATAACACTAATGAATAAATAGACATTTGGTGATTTTTTTTCTCAAGATCATTTGCGTATAAGTTTGATACTCCTGTTCTAATACGTATTTACGGTATCATCATCCCTCCCTTCTGTACATTTGAGAAGGGCTGGCTGTTAATTAAATTGATTAATTAAATTAAATTCATTAAATTAAATTAATTTAATTTAATTGATTTTAATTATATTATAACGATTCTTTTTACAGATTGAAAATAATTATTGATAATGGTTGATAAAACTTAATTTGAATAGTATAATAATAGTTAATTAAATTATTCGAAAAACTTCTTAAAATTAATGTCAGATGAATCTGAATCTGATCATTTTCTCTTCAATTGACCCCGTTCAAATGCCGATCAAAGACATCGAATCAGAATTTGATCAAACTGGGGTCAGGCAGCCGACCTCAGGGTGAAATCGTGCCTCACCTGATCAGAACTTGATCTGAATCATCCTGCAGTTTTTCGGATCCGATCTGTTGGATCAGAACTTGGTCAGGTTCTCATCAGGAATCACCGGATCAGTCGAACCTTACAAAAACCTGATCAAATTCTGATCGTGCTTCAGGTGGACCTGAAGCAAATTCCACTCGGGTATATTTTTCGACCCGTACCTGATTTTTTTTCGTGAATGACGCATAAGTAAATCGTAAAATACGTTCCTATTAAAATCGTAATTTACGATTTCTGCAGCATAAAATACGCTTAGTGAAAGACGTAAAAGACGCTTTGTTTGGGAATAATTTATGTTTTTATTTTGACCGTTAAGTACGCCTTTTTGAAGACTAAATTCCAATTTTCATGATGAAAAAAAAGCCAAACCAACCATCTTATTGGCGTTAAGCATACATTACGCTCAGCAAAACGTAATTTATGTTTAGATTTTTCTATGTGTGGTGGAGATAGGGAGATACAGTCGCATTTTCAGAATCTACTTCCCCTATTGCCCCATGCGTGCGACTATAACGAGAGTCTACACGGAGAAAAAAATTCCAGAAAAATTACTGTGGTAGCACGATAAAATGGGTTCGTTTGGACGGACCCAGAAAAAGTACCGTGCCAGCACTGAAAAATTTTCTGTGGAGTACAAGAATTTTTCACGGTACATCTGAGAAAAATTCCCGTAGCGCACGGCAGAAATTCCGGTGCTGGCACGGGAATTTTTCCGGGTCCGTCCAGATGAACCTACTATTTTACCGTGCTACCACAGTAATTTTTCTGGAATTTTTTTCTCCGTGTACTCTACATACATATATATGTGAGTCACCACCAAAAAATCGCATATTTGAACTTTTGAGACCAAACTTAGTTACCCTGACACAATAAACTAGAAACTTAAATACGTATGCACTGATCGAATGATTCATTTATTCCAAGCGAGATTGTTAACTATTAACGAATGGTAGAGTTGAATATGACCAAATGAATATTCGTTAATAGTTAATGAATGGTTCACTTGAATGGCGAAAGTCAAGTCAAACAAGGCTCCTCAAATATACGTTCGTTAACTATTAACGAATGAACATTTGGTGAGACCGAATAGACCCTAATTAACCTCCAACCAAAATCCATTCGTTAACAATAACTAATCCATTCTATCAGTGTGGGTACAAAACCTCTGTCCGGAAGCAAAAATCTTAAATTAAGAACGATAATTTTTAAATTTGGGGCATTCGTTTCTGACTTGACATCAATTTTTCTTGCATAAAAAAATGAGCAAATTGTGGTCTTCAGAAGACAGGAAAATTCTACTCGCAATTCGAAAAAGCCAATCTCTCCTACTCGGGGAATTTTGCGACAAGGTCGTTGCATACAAACAAATATGTCAAGTTTCATAGGGAAAATTGCTTGCGCAAGTGCTGGGAATCTTTTTATCCTGCGAAACTTGATATATTCATTTGTACGCAACGAAGTTGTCGGAAAATATACCAACATTTTGAAGTTCTTGGGGTATTACTACTGAGAATGCAACTCCCTCCCGTCTCTGTTGAATACAATTCTTGTGGCAAGAATGGGCTAGTGACAATCTCAATTCAAGATTTTTGAAAACGCACATGTTACGAAACATTCTTCCAAAAAAGGAGTTATTTATGTAAAAACTCTCGTTCTTACGTTAAGAATGAAATTTCCCATAACCATCGGTGCACACGACTGGTTGAAATTCGAGATTGTGTCAAGAATGCATGGATTTGGCATGAATTTAGTTGTACTCCTTTCAATAGCTACTTTTCTTGTGTTCTCAAGCCAAATTCTAAATTTTAGAAACATTGTTCTTAATTTCAGAACTTTTTTTTATCTCTGTGTAATCTTATTGGGTAAACCGATAGATGATGTTTTGTGTAGATGATGAGAGACGGATGATTTCTCCCGTAGAGAGACAAGAACAATGCTGAATGAAACCAGCCGGTGACGAGCTGGAGCTGAGATGCTGTTGGCCCAGGGTGTATCAATAACGACGATAGCGGGGGTTGTCGAGGAGGAGGATTACGCCAATAGCGAAGCTCACAGCGGACAGTACGACGGCTACGTGACCGATCATACAGATCTTGGTTCGGAAATAGATATAGATGAATCCGAGTATCGTCGTGAACTCCTTAATGACGTAAGTCTGACCCAAACTGTTTCCTGTTATGACCTTCACATACCTAGGGGCTAATTCAAGTTCACTACCTAATGCAAGTATCGTCTGTGTCTTCCAGAGATGGCGAATGCTGTTCGACAAGGTATCCCATTTACGTTCCATGCAATTATAGGCGAATCCACTGTGTCTTCTATTCATGGCTGAATCCATTAGTAAATTCAATGTAATCTGATTTCACAGTTCGATCCAGAGGGTTTTGGCGAGATACCTCGAGACGATTTCCTTCGGGCACTGGCAAGCAGCGAATGGAAATCCGAAATACCAGCCAACAAGAGGGATATACTGTTGACCCGGATCAAAGAGTCCTACGTAGATGCAATTACGTTTCAAGATTTTGTCAATGTGGTGAGTTGCTTGATGATTGTTCAAGTAATTAATTTTCATTCACGAGCGTAGTCGGTTTTGTTGGAAGTGCTCAATGTGAATAGAAAAATTCATTTGAAGGACTTTTCTTCCCTTGATATCTGCTCCTTTCACGTCACAAAAATGACGAAAACGAAGATTGAAAGACTCTCTCAAAGTCAATTGACTTCAGAGATTTCGAAGTTCTCAGAATGTTGAGAATTAGAGCTGTCGTCATTATTAGTTGATTGGCTCCTTGATTTCAGTGAAACTAGTCATCAAGTAATGAAAGTGGGAGATGAAAGAGCTAATGATATTCGTTATATCAATTTGAACGTCTTATCTAACTAAGCTGTTTCCCACGATTTCTGCGTACCGTGCAATTGAAGCTCTCCACTCCAGCGCCGAGAAAATAAGAAAAGGCAATAGTCAGGTTGGAGGGTTAATGAACCAATGTGAATAATTAATTAACTTTCATCGTTATATTCTCATATTTATGCACCGAATATTTCTCTCGCGAAGGAATTGGAATTATCGATTTAAATAAGCATATCCACTGAGCCATGGTTGCGGATTACCTAATGGATCTTTCCTCTGTTCCAAATACAGGAGCATGCATAATACGATTATATAATTTGAAACATAAACCAAACCGTAGAATATTCAATCACCATGGCTTACATGATTATATCACACTGTATTAACTAATTAACACGATCATTGGATTATGGTATCCAGTTCATTGGAAATGACATGCAGTCCAATTTAAACAAACTTTTCGATGTGAAGCTTACTCCCAGGACATTATATTGACTGAAATATCCCAGTACACAGTTTCATTCAAGTCCCTCATGTCCAACTTCTCCAAACTAAACCATGGATTATAAAACCCTCGCCAATATTTCTTCTATATTTACCTAAAACTCAGTTTTTAAAGACCGAAATAATATTCCTCCCTTATGGTCCCCGGCTACCATTGAGCCATGTCTCCCAGTGCGGGGTTATTGTTAATCGGTTATTTGTCAAAGCTTAAGAATCCTTAGCCAAAAACCGATGGAATTTCGCCACTGGACAATAAAGCCCTAGGTTTGATGGAGCTCCTAAAGTAGCCAAATGCACCCGGTGGAAAAACTCGCTCAAGATAAATATCTTCGACAATAATAATCCCCCCGTGTATAGTGGTTTTTCTGGGTAATATGACCAGAAAAGAGAAAACGACATCCGCTGACAATTTTTAGGTGCTTGTCTTCCTTTCTTCACTCTCCTCTCTTTTTTTACCTTTTTGCCCCTTTTTTATGTACAACAGGGGAATAGGTATGTAAGCGGACTAAGCGGTAGTGACGTTGAGTGGCGGAAAATTGGCCGGTCAATTTTGCAATGCTCGATCGAAGCCCAGGGGATTTTTCACAAAAGAAATGAGGAAAACAAGAAAAAACTTGTGGCATTGTATTGATAGTTGGTCAATCGATATCAACCGAGAACCACTTGGTGCGTAGATTGGAATGCATTCAGGGTTCATTGAGATTATCTGGACAGTGGGCTAATCTCTCTGAATGGCTCGTCAATCGATAATCGTTGTCCACCGACCTTAAACTATAATGCCATTTATTGACTCACCGTCATTCCACTTACTTTCCTTTTATGAGGAAATTCGGGATAATGACGCAACTGTTGTTGTCCCATTTGAACGTTATATTGATCGTTATTCACTGTCTCTCCCTATTTGCCTCCTATAATTTTCGTCACCAATGCCGGACTTTTTTCGGTAATGGTCAAACGATTTGAAAAACTTCTCAAACCGTTGAAACGAAATAATAGGGTATTCTATTAACGGCAGTTGGAAATATAATGCAGTAGAAATGTGGAGCCAAAAAATTTTCCAGAGTAGCCTTCTGTTGGAACGCGCGGCATTGTCAAATGGGGGATGGGACACCAAATTACGGTCCCATGTTCCGTCGCTTTTTTTTTGTAATGGGAGCGTGCAGTTATAGTGACGAACTCTTGCACAAAGAAGGGAAATTTTTACTTGAAAAAAATTTTGTGGCTATTTTAAACGTTTGTTCGCCTTTTTATCTTCTAAACGCATGCCTCATTCAACGGTTTTCAAGCGAATCCGACTGACATTGTGTCGACGCTTTGGCGTTTATAAGTATATTGCCTTGGAAAGGAGAATATTGTGATTATGCTATTTGCGGTGAATAGGTAAAAAATAAAGGCAAAACTATACCTGCATTCACGCTCGAGCTGACAAACAGCATCGATACAGACAGATCCGTTTATCGTTTGGGTTTTGGGCTTTTTTCCCTTTTGTTTTCTTTCTCAACCATCAGTTCTGTCTGCTAGTGAATCACTGGGGAGAGATTACCCGGTGGATTTGTGGGAGCGCGTAATAAGAGCTGGGGGCTTATTGCCCAGTGGAATCCTTTCACTCTTCAACCTTTTTTGCACCTGATTTGTCGGGTAGATGTGGGCTCCTCTTCGGCCATAGGGGATCAAATCGCTCCCAGGACAAAACACACAATAAGACTGAGATGTTTCAAAAAAGAATTGGAATGATGGGAGGAAACGTAGAAAGATGAGAATCAGTAATTTCCAACTTGTTCCGCAGCAGTGAGCCCTTTGCGGAGCTTCCCCCCCCCCCCCC